TAAAATAAAAATGGATGGCCAAATATTCTTGGGTGGCTGTTAATATAACTGGGTGGCCTATCCAAGTCAAGTCTGTGGAAAACACTGCAGTGCACATAAAGTAATCGCCAGGGTATTCATTTAATGACAAGAATGTTAAGATTAAAGTTTGTCTAAATCAATATTAGCATTTCTAAAAATCTCTGAAAGCAAGGAATGTAGCTCAGTACAGCCAAGACTGAGCTTAAAAAGAGAGACCACATAAAATAAAGATGAGTAATGTTAAAAAAAAAAAAAAAGCGTAACCACAAAAAGTGCAACTACCTACTTAACCTATTAATAATAAAACTATTGACCTTTTGAGTTTATCGAAATTATACAAGTGTCACATTTTCACATTCAAACATGACTTTCACAAGACTATGACAAGTGTAATTAGATCAAAGTTTATTTACCTGGGGTGCCCAAAAGATTGTTATCTCTCATGAGACGATAGTCTTCATCACTGAGATTGTTGACAAACTGATAGAAGGCCTCCTCCCTGTCCAGGCGGTCCCGCTGCCTTCTGCGCTGAGATTCTGGCTGGTCACTGCCACCCTGGTCTAAACTGTCTGACCCTTCCATTGATTTGAAAGGAAGGGAGGTCAAAGGATATTCTCCAATCTTCAGCAAGATCCAGATGCTGCAGTATTAAAAGAAAAAGATTAAATGCATATCAAAAACAGATGGATATATACTGCTTATTGACTCCTCATCTAACTTGAAGGGTTAAGGGGTTACAACTATTCAGATATCAAAAAGGATTATGCATCAGGGACACACAACTAAAGGCACATGTTTTATTTGACACCTTTAAGCATTCCCACTCTGTTTGCTATGATTGATGTAATGGCCGATTCTGTAATGGCCGAATCTGTGTATTACCATCAACCATTCACGAGAAAACTCTGGCCACAGTGCTACATATTACGTTTCTGTGGATAACATCAGCCTGCTGATGTGTAAACGGTAGCTAATGTTAACACGGTTTACGTGTACTATTACAAATCATCCTGACATATGTTATTAACATTACTGTATACGCAACACTAGCCAGTTGAACCACCGCTTTTATCTTAACGCGTCGTACTTTTTCTGGTCATATCAAAATGTGACAATTTGATGGCTATAATTAGTGTCAATAATTTGGTTTATGTGAAGTCCAGTGGGAACACTGCATGTTGGTCAAAGTCGAGATAAAAACAAAATGGCATCATCTAGCTTATATTACGTTAGCTAGCTAGCATTAGCGTTGCTAACTTCGACCAATGCTGGCTAAAAGGGAGTCACTGGTTGTAATAATATATAGCTAAATCAAATGATTAGCATCTACTGAGACTATGATAGTATTTGTATGTTTGACACAAAACAGGTTTCTCACATGACAAAACAATCCCGGCTATGTTGTTCTTTCAATAAGCTAAAAGCTGCCATATTAACTAGCCGGGTGGCTAACTATATACTCTACCAGCGGTAGTTATAGCTAACACTAGCTAAAGCTAACTTAGCCAGTAACTTCGTGAGAAGCATCCTTCGTTACATTATCTTAACATTAACTCATTTAGCACAAATATAGCTTAGATTATGTCTGTAAGCATGGAGTAAAACTGAAATTTGTCTTGCCTGTTTTTACTGACCACTGATGAAAAGTACGAACGTTTCATTTAAATACATTGACGATACTATTAGCACCACCACAAGCTAACTAAGCAAACGACGTCAACCAATGACATCCATAACCAGTACTTTACCAAAGAAAACAAGCTAAAATTACCTAGTTAATGAAAATAAACGTAAGGAGGATTATAAAATCTTTAACCGTACCAATGATACGTTACTTGTTCAGTGATGTTAGATATGCTATCGTTCTACCCCTTTACGACGACGAAGGTGGCTTCTTATTCACGGCTTCTTATGGGAATTTTCAAGTCCACCTTAAATGTATCGTAAATGTACCTATAGAGGGTGCTGTTCAGTCATTATAAAGCTGAACTTAGACACAGTAGATAGATATATAGATTCACTTAACCTTTTTTATACTTTAGCATAAATGCACTTCAATTAATTTGTAATCGTGAATTGTAATTAGTTTACTGTAGGATTTTTTTTCTTATTACCCTCTAAACATGGCACAGTGACATGAAATGACAATGCTATTTCTGCCAATTTGCTATGGTTCTATCTAGATAAAGCAGAATGTTTTGGCACTTTCCCCCCCCGAAAAGGCACAAAAAAAAAAAAAAAAAAAAAAAAAAAAAAAAAAAAAGGAAAACAAAAGGTCCAGCAACATTTGCAGTGTTTGTATCCTTATTAAAGTTGCTCAAAACACTGCAAGTGTTGCTGGACGTTTTGTCCTCTTTAGCGTAGTATTGTGTAGGCTTAAATGGCTTTTGAGTCTTTTATCTCTGACAGTTTGCTTCTATTTCATGAAGTCGCTATACTGCAACGATAAAAGCCACGTTACATGTCATCACTATGAAGGATAGTAACGTTATATATATGTAGGTAAAGGTAATGGAAGGACTGTAACAATCCTACAGTATTTTATTCAATAACGGGCAGGTAGGCCCACAGGAATTCATTGTGGTCTGATCTTAACACAAAAGCATAGCATCAACATTAAATAATAATAATGTGCTGAAGATGGAGTATGTACTATATTAACATGACATAGACTCTATATCACTGTACGAGGGTCAGGGGACGATAAAAAAAACTACTGTGATTTTTATTTCACATTCAGTTATGTTACTCTGATGTTCCTGAGCGCTGAGACCTATAGGCTACTAAAGAGGAATGAGCAGAAACAGCAGTTACCAGTTAGTTTATTATGTTCAAAGAGTAAAACATAAAATTGATTCATATCCAGGATTGTATACGAACGGTATTTTATCCTAAAGTAAAAACGTCTAATTATTCTCTTGAGTTTTGCCTATTTATTACGTTTTTCAGTTCATGGGTCACTTAAAACGACTCAACGGCGTCCTCTACGTGAACGTACCACTTTTAAGGTAGACCGGGAAACTCCATTAACTCACCGTCAGAAAAAAACTAAACACTTCACTGTTAAACTAAGTGGGATTTTAAGGTTTCATTTTCTATCTATAAGGAAGACCACAACAATTTTCCGGAAACTGAGAAAATATTAGGCTGTTTTTCCCTGAGTTAAATCTCGCAGGTACACACGGGCGCTGCAATAACCCAGGCTAAATGGTTTGAGGGTACGGTGGCCAATCGTGGCCAAGGACCCGAGCTAGGACGTCAGGTTGTACGCAGCCTGACAAGTGGAGCTGTCTGAAAGCCCAAACTCAGGGCAATAGAGAGCACTACAGCCTTAGAAAAAAGGATGTGTACCCCACTAGTGTTCAACTGTAGCGTCACGATGCGGTTGTAAATGCAAATCCTCTTGCCTTCTGCAGAATTCAGGCTGGAGGACAAAGATCTGTACAGAATAGGTACCTTTGTGTGCCTAAATGGCCAGCATACTATATAACATCATTTGGAGACTTTTAACATAATCGTATGTGTTATGTAATCATACATTATATTTAGCCAACAACTTCCAATGACCTGTGCCCCCAGTCCTATTACAGCAACTGATATATTGAAGTATTATGTCATTATCAATAAAATATTTAAACTCATTCTAATCTTTTCTTGTCGAGTGTAATTTAAAAGCCATTCTCCTGTTTAACAAAGACAGCTGTGGCTAAGAAATGGTCAATCTTAAATACAGAATGCCCGATTATCTCATTTAGTTTTAAAGTTTCCAGGAATGTACAACCAATGGTTGTAAATAGGAGATGTAGATACTTATTATGGTTATAAAGACTTACATCTACAGATACTACTGCTTACAACACATTAACAGAAGTTGAACAAATTCTCAAAACACGTCAAAATAGATTGAGAAACCCTTTTTTATACAAAAGTCTGGGAGGTTATTTTAAAATATGTGAAATGATATATTTGCAAATCTAGGTCTAATAAAATAAAAAATATATGATAACATTAATTCACTATTATATAACAGGTGTGTAAAATTGACATTTTCAAAGTACTTGAAAACTGTTAATTTTCAAGTATTGAACATATTGTGATGGAATTTTATTTTGCTCAAAGAGATGTTATTTTACTAAAATAATGTTATATCTTGTGTATATTATATTTTTTCAACAATTTGTATCAATAATAATTGTTATTCATGACAGTAAATTCATTTAAGCACACAAAATAGTGTATGAGAACAGCAACTTGAGGAAATATAACTCAAATTTACTGTACTGTATGTACATGACATACTGTACACCTGTATAATACAGCATATACTGTACATAAGATTTTATATTTACACATGGAGTTAAATGAACTAAACTGAGTAAGTGACATGAATCTTGTAATAACAGACATCGAAGTGAAGCATAACAATAGGCCCGATCGCTTTATAAAGACATTAAACAAAAGCATTGTACCAAGTCAAAATCTGGTGGTAGGGACTTAACTAGCAGTAGTTCTGTACCATCAACATCTAATAGCCTTGGTCTGTAAAGGTTTGTATATAAACAGCAAATCTGGCAGCTAAACAAAAACTATGTTTGAGTAATTGTGTTGTTTTTAGGTTCTTGCGGTTTGACTTGATAAGTATATGCCTACATGACAAAACAATGCAAAAATAGACATACTGATTACGCTACAGTCTTCTCATTAATGATTAAAAAAAAAACACAGACATGTCCTAATGAGAGGACCGCCTATGGCTGTCTGTGCAATGTGAGCCCGCACTGACAACACAACTAGAACCTCATTTAATAACCACAGGTGTACCTGATCCATTGCATTAGCTGATCCATCTTATAATTTGCTTGCTCCCTTATCTGCTATGGGTGACTAAAGAACAAAAACAATGCTAATACCACCTGACAATTTTGGAGGCATACATCACAGGATCTGTTTATGGTCAGAGACAGTATCTCCAGCTCCAATTAAGCATGCCAGAATGAGTTGCAGTGTGGACCACAGCAGCCCAGCTCAGAGTTATGGATGAGCAGTCACTCTAGTAATGCCTGACCCTGAGTGCTAATTAGATATGACATTAAAATAACATGAGCCAAACCAGACGTGCAGAAATTAAAATGCCTTTCATTGAAGGATCTTTCAATAAAAAAAAATAAAAAAAAACAGGAACAAACTAATTGGAATTTTTAGGATTGAATTTACACTTTCACATTTTGTGGCAAGAACAAACACTAAATATAACACATTTTATTATTCACTATTACTACTATTGTAGTAGAATCTCCAGGGTGGGGGAGGACGTTGGCTGAACAGACTTCCCTCCTGACATCTCAGTGATTTGACTTGACTAAGTTGCATGTAATATCAAAAAACTGCATGGCATGGCCATTTGTAATTATTAGATTGATTGGACTGAACTTGTTTGTCAAACAGTTCATAGTGTGGAGATTTTATGCTTAGTGTTTACAGCAGCGGATCGGTGGTAAAAAACACAACCCTACTCTCTTCAGAAAGCAGCATTCAAAATCTTATTTTAATTTGTATATTTACTCCATAAACATTATTACAAAACTCAGCAAGTTACCAATATTACATTATCACCATACAGGCTTGATCACAAATATTTAAAACCTTTGCAACAGTTACAACAAAACAAAAAACAAAATAATACTCAAATAATTTACATGAAAATCTATAAAACAGCAAATTGTTCACAAATTATATTTTTTCCAGGTTTTCGTTTTTTTTCTTTGCTTATTTGTGTTTTGCACAGTAACACAACACTCTCACAACAAGATCATGGTCTTATTACAAAACTCCCAACAAAATGTAAATATTTCTAGTTTTCTGTTGATACTTTCATATTTTGGTTTTTAAAACCAGAAACTTGTCATTGTATATCCTTTCCACTGCCCACAGAGGCGCATAAAAGGTTACTCACACACACAAATACTTCACAGCACTTTCTAAGAAAAATATACACTTACAAAATATGTTACAAATTGGCACACAAAAAATATACAAGATTTTGTAGTGTCAAGAGTTCATTAAGATTCCTTCTGGTAACAACTCTAGACAGTATATATAAAGCTCAGTAATCTTTTAATGAAAAGAGCAAAAGTAATTTCAATCAATGTCAAAGAATCATGAAGTGAATACATCAAACATAACATTATAATATACATTCATAAAGAGGGTTAGGTACCTAATCTATTTTGCATTTCTTTTTTTGTTAACTCTGGGAAGAAAAAAAAAAACAAAGAGAGAGAAGAAAAGAATTGTCAGCTTTCTTAGCACCATTAACATGAGGCAGCTCAACAGTGGCACATGTTAAAAACAAAAAGAAGAAAAAAAATCAACTCAGAGAAGTACATTCAGTTTGACAATAGGCAGAAATGAGAGAAGGCAGACTAAATGGGCTTGCAGCCCATGTGGAGCTTCCCATCAGCAGCTTGTCTTGGTCCTAACCCTGATACACTGGAGAAAAGAAACAAAGGATCATGGCAGAGAGGAGAGGAAAAAAAAAAGAGACAGAGAAAGATTATGATTCTTGCCATATGCAAGCAATCAATTACCTGTGCATCCAAATTACCATATCCAGTGTGACAAGGTCTGTTTTTGAATTAAGCTTCCGTGTGTCCGCACCTCTCCATGCAGTCTCATGTAATAACTGCTGTTTAAAATTTATATCTAACATTGAAAAGAGAGCAAAAATAAAGGCCTATTGTTTGAGTATACAGTATATTTGTAATAGATACTTTTGTAAACAGGTGAATTGGCTCTGCATG